TGCCCTTTGCCTTTTGAAGTGCCGAGCATTCCTTCCGCTTTTCGGGCATTTGTTCTTGATGTGCCCGGCTTCACCACATCCATAGCACACAGGGCCATCCTCAACCTTTTCTTTCTTCCGTAGAAGTTTACAAAACTTCTTCATGACAAGCTTGACTTCATCATCGTCGCTTGAATCATCCATCGTTGATTCTTTGACGTCTTTTAATGCTATCCCTTTCTTTTGGTCATTCAAAGACGGGTTAACAATAGTAGATTTATAGGTTTTTAGATTACCTCTTAGACCGTCGATGGTGACATTTGATGTGCCGATTGATTCATAGATGGCATCGGCCTTGGATCGCCTTTCGGATGTCAAGCTCCGTAGGATCTTTCGCACAAGATCCTTGTCGGTGTAAGTCTTCTTTAATGCATGAAGATCGTTGACTATTTTGTAAAATCGGTCGAACATGTCGTCAATCTTCTCGTGCTCCTGCATCCTGAACATCTCATACTCTTAGGTGAGGAAGTCGATCTTGGCTTCACGTACTTGGTCCGTTCCTTCGTACGTCACCTCGAGCTTATCCCACATCTCCTTGGCAGTTGTGCAGCAGGAGATCTTGCGGTAGTCATCAGGATTTACGGAACAATAAAGCATGTTTATTGCCTTTGCATAATTCTCGACCTTTTTGATGTCCTCAGCATCAAACTCGTCTTCGATCTTGGGGATCAACTTGTCACCAACTTTCTTCATCGGCACCTCTTCCCCGTTTTTGATAACCAACCATAATTGGAAGTTTGTGGAACGAATATAGATTCTCATTCGTTCTTTCCAATATGTATAATTGGTTCCATCAAAAAGAGGTGGCCGTGTGGTTGATTGCCCTTCACCTATTCCTGCATACAAATTTCTAGAAGAAAAACCCATGATCGCTTTTACTCTCAAACGGTTAAGTTTGGACGCGAGTTAGGCTCTGATACCAATTGTTAGAATAAGTGTCCTTCACTAGAGGGGGGGGGGTGAATAGTGAGGCACGAGAATGTTTATAAATTTTCGCGGAATAAAAATCGCAGGGATAAAGTAAAGAGCGGAATAAAAAGGAGTAAAGGGAGCACACCGAATTTTACCCTGGTTCACCACAACTTGTGGCTAATCCAGCCTCCCGAGAGACTCTCTCGAGCTACACTACTTCCGTTAAGCTTACGGGTGCTT